AGAGAAGTGCCATGCAACAGTTGGGTCGTGGTCGAACAACAGCGCGTGGTTCCAGTGTTTCGTGTCATCGCCAGTGACGCGCCTGAACCACTTGAGCTGGTACCCCGTCACCCAAACGAGCTCGGCATCCGACGAGAAGATCGAGAACAGCTGGAATGACATCGGCCGGTCGTATGCACGATAGATTTGTGGCGGGCTCGGAGTCCCCCACCTCTCACGGTCCGCAGTGATATCGTTCACCGAATCCCACGCTGACTCTGCCTCAGACAACGTCGACTGCACAGCTGGCTCTGTCGTGGAGAACTTATCCTTGTTGGGTGCTGAAAGGTGTTGCTTCTGATACTGGATGTATTTGGACATCGTGATTCTCGCGCTCAGCGTCGGCCTCGAAATGTGCGGTGCCCGTTCCACAGTCCACGTCAAGACCCTGTTTGTCCCCTCGATCTCCTGTGTGTCACAGAGCCACTGCGCAGATATAGTCCTCGCTGCGTCGGAGTCGTCGTCGTCGACGCCGCCGCCTTCATCCCATCGCCCCTCCCCCTCCTTCCTCCTAGTTTTCCTCATCCTCCCTCGTTCTCCTCCTCCTCCTCCTCCTCAGCTCCTCATCATTCATCTTCCTCCTCCTCCTCCTCCTCCTCCTCCTCCTCCTCCTCCCTCTTAGACTCTGCCCCTCTGGGCACCCCTGGGCCCCTGGGCCCCATGTGCACTTTTTCCTCGCCCCGGGCGTTGATTGATGCGTTCCCGCGATCCTCCACAAATGGTACAGGGGCGCCCGCACTTTCCCACGATTCAGCACGCAATCCTCCAGGGCCCCCCGGAAGAGGAGCTTCGTTTTCAAAGCGTTGATTTCCATCCCCGCGGCATCGCACGCGAGGAGCTCCTCGGCGACGCCGAGCCGCTCCTGCTCGCGGCGGTGCGCAGCAGGCGACGCAGCAACGCAGGCGACCCGACCCACGGCGCATATCGATGAGGAGGAGGAGGAGGTGGGGGAGGAGGAGGGTTAAGAAGGAGGAGGCGGAGGAGGAGGACGACGCTGAAGAGGAAGAGGAGGAGGGAGGGGCAGGAGGGGAGAAGGATAAGGAGGAGGAAAAGGATGGGGAGGTGAAGGAGGGAGGTGGAGGGAGGAAGGAGGAGGAGGAGGAAGAGGGGGGAGGAGAATGAAGGCGAAGGAAGGAGGAGGAGGAGGAGGAGGAGGAGGAGGAGGAGGAGGAGGAGTCAGGAGGAGGAGGAGGAGGAGGAGGAGAAGGAGGAGGAGGGAGGGGGAGGGGGGTGAGGAACCGCAGAAGAGGAGGATGGGGAAGAATGACTGAAGGGAGAGGGCGTGGGAGCATAAGCGGGGAGGAAGAGTCAGAGGAGGAGGGGGAGCAGGAGCAGGAGGAGGAGTCGGGGCAGAGCTGGTGAGGAGGCGCAGAATAGGAGGATGGGGGGGATGACAGAAGGGCCGAAGGGCCTTAGGGGGAGGGCGGGGGAGGAGGGGGCCCAGGCGAATCGCAAGGAAGACAGACAAACAAGAGGAAAGCAACTCCTTGCATTCAACGTCGGGCAGACACTTGGCCAGGAGCAACAGCTTGGCCGGGTACTCGAGGGCGCGCGACTCCACCCGGAGCCCGAAGTCAGCAGCCAACATAGCGCAACCTGCAACGATGCCCTCCACGAACAGGGGCTTCGCTCCAAAGGGGATGTCGTCGAGCACGTCCTCCCACTTGTCAGGCCGCAGCATCGCGTGGAACTCTTTCTTGAGGGTATCCTTCTTCCCCCACACAAGCAAAGCCAAGGGGGCCGGGGCCCCAATCTTCCTCAAACTGCGTTGTTTCTGGAGCCAATACAGGAGGTGATCGGTGGGCGCCCTCTGCGTTGATATTATGCGAACAACCAGCGGATAGAAAAACTCATCCAAGGTGATGGCGTCGGTGGCCCGGGTCCACCATGTATTCATTTTTGTGCTGTACGCTCCCGCCTCGTCAATGTCATCATCATCATCCTTCTTGGCGGGCCTCCTCCTCCTTGTCGATTGACTGGATGCGACGACTGCCCAGACAGACTTGAAACGATTGGCATCCAGGCTGAGGAGCCTGGACTCGCAGCTCGAGACCGAGCCCCACCGGCCGCCAATGCATTTCGGCGGCACCCGCTTCACGCACTTAGATGTCCCAGGAAATTGTTTGGTCCACTCGCGATACACCTGCTTGCCAGAGCCCCTCCAACAGTTCATGACGACGGCCAGCGTGCTGAAATAGTTCTTGAGCTTGCCGTCAGACAATGTACGAACCCATTCATCAGCGAACTTCAAGTGCGTCTTGACGCCGAGGTGGCACTGGTGCATGAAGCACGGGGTCCACATGAAGAACACAGCGATGCAACTCAAGCAGTCTCTGGCGGCAATCTCAGCGGCGGCCACTTGATCACCGCCAGCGTCCGTGCACGTCACCCAAGCCTCGATTGCGGGCATCATATTACGATCCAAATCTAGTTGACCAGCATCGCGAAGCACACGTGCCTGAATCTCCAAGAACTCGATCAGCATGTCCTCTGAACTCGGAGGGGCTGGAAACGGGCCGACAGGCGGGCCCAGCATATGCCTGATTCTGGTGTCGCACGCATCCTTCCAACATACCAGGCCCAACGATGTAGCTTGTTTGCGCCAAAGGGCCCAAGCATCGGGCCCCGTGGGGCCCTCCACGACCATCAAGTCCGCGAACATGGTCTTCTCCTCGAAGTCGATGGAGCTGCAATCGGCGCCAGGAGCGAAGGCGAACATGGAGGAGCACTCGCACACGTGAAGCTTCTGCTTCTGCCACACGCTCGCGTTTGTCGCATCCGCCCGTAGGCGGTGCACGCAAATCTTGATGCCCGGGCCCCACGAGGCGTCGTCCAGCGGCTGGCCGTGCATCATGTCGCGAGCCGTCTTCTGGAAGGCCCTCGACGCGCCCACCAACGCAGCGTGCGTGGAGACCTTCGGCGACAAAAAATTAAGTCAGGAGGAGGAGGGAGGAGCGGAAGAGGAGGTGGAGAAGGAGAGAAGGAGGAGGAAGAGTGAAGGAGGAGGAATATCATGATCAGGAAGAGGAGGAGGAGGAAGAAGAGGAGGAGGAGGCGAGAAGAAGGAGGAAGGAAGGAAGGACGGGGGGAGGAGGAGGAGGAAGAGGAGGAAGAGAGGAAGACGAGGGCGACGACAACGACGACCATTAATAGGACGAGAAAGATAGAGAAGAGGAGGGGAAGGATGATGAGGAGAAAGAATGATGGGGGGGAATGTGACGTTTTGGGTTCGCCGGGGACCTCCCAGCGCGCAATGGTCATGCCCGACACGTCGTGGCCAGCGCTGAGACCATACGCCACAGCGGCCACCCTGCTATTCGACCGTCTCAAAGCATGGAGCATGCCCCCTCGCACGGAGAAGTATCTATGTTGTTTGCCTGTCCTCCCGAAAGATCGCATATCTTTGATTGTCTGCTCGTTCTCTTTCAGCTGCCTTCGCAGCGCTGTAACCTTGCGCCTCAGATACCACACCTGCTTTCTCAAACGTTCGATCCTCTTGGCAACGTCTCCTCCATCGCGGGCTGCGTCGGGGGCCGAGCCGCCTGCGGCCGCCCTCCTCCGCCTCCTCCTCCACCTCCTCCACCATGGGCCGAGCCTCCCGGGCGGAAGGTGCGGCGGAGGCGGCCGTGGAGGCGGGCCCGCTGGCGGGGCTGCAGCAGCTGCAGCTGGGGCAGCTGGCGGCGCTGGCGGCAGGGCTGCTGGAGGCGCCGCGGACGGCCGCCACCTGGCGCCGCTGCTGCTGCTCCCGCCGCCGCCTGTCGCGGCCGCCTCCAGCGTCGCCCTGATGTGAGCCTCCACCTCGGATTTGAGGGGACAAGTGTGGCAAAAGGGAAGGGAAGGATTCCGAGGAGGAGGAAGAGGGGGGGAAAAAGGAGGGGAGGAGGAGGAGGAGGAGAAAAAGGAAGAGGAGGACGAGGAGGAGGAGGACGAGGAGGAGGAGGAAAAGGAGGAGGAGGAAGAGGAGGAGGACTGAGGATAAGGAGGCATTGCCTTTTGAAATCACCAGATGTCGCTGCCCCCGCTCAGCGATGCGAGGCCGCGGTCATCTTCGCGCCAGCCGAGAGACGTGCGATGCGCGGTTACCTTCGCTTATCGTCGCGACTTTGGGAGGGCAACCGAATCTTTCTCATCTAATCCATCCCTGCCCTCCCTCCCCGGGCCCCTCCCCTACCCCTTCTCGCCTCTCCCGCCCCCTGTTCCTCCTCTTATGTTTCGTTGCCCTCCTTCTGCACGCGTGTTCCGACGATGCAATCATTATATTATTATTTGCCCCCCCTGCCACCTCTCCCCACTGCCTCACGTCGAACACGACGCCTGCTTGCACGAGAGCGTGAGGTACAGCACTCAACCGGTAGTGCGTGTCTGTGAGCTTGAAACTGCCGCATCCACGTGGAAGCCTCCGCCGTCCTGAGCAAGGGCGAGGGGCGGACGGGAAGCGGCCCGAACCGATCGATGGCGATCGACACGCAACCGCTTGCGAAGAAAACCGCAGTCCCCGTAGTTTGCGAGGAGGAGGAGGACGACGAGGAGGAGGACGAGGAGGAGGAGGAGGAGAGGAGGACGATGAGGAGGAGGGAGGGGGAGGAGGAAGAGGAGAAGGAGGAGGAGGAGGAGTAGGAGTCCTCCTCCTCCTCCTCCTCCTCCTCCTCCTCATCCCCCTCCTCTCGTCCGTGCCCTCCTCCCTTCGTCATCCTCATTATCCCTCGGGCCGTTGGGCGACGCACAGCCACGCAGCACATGCTAAGCACATGCTATGCTGATCGCGGCGCGTCATGACTTGAAGCGGCAGTGGTGTGATGTCTGCTATATCCTCCCCTCCTCCTCCCCCCAAGAAAACAATTGTTTCCCTTGACGGTCCGCCCGGGAGCGCGTGCGCCAGGCCGAGCACGTCCAGGAGGCCGTCCTCTGAGAGGACGGGCTCGCCCGTCGGCGCCGTGCATCTGCTCGGCAGCGCCGCTGCGATGCGCGCCAACATGAGTGGCGCCGCTCGCCGACGGCCCAAACAGTTTGGGCCGACGGGGCGGCAGGAACGGACGCGAGGACGAGGAGGTTGGGCGCAACCGATGGTACTCCAGATTTCGTAATAAAAGGGAGGGAATCTGGATCCTCCAAGACAAGCAACTTCAGACCCCCCCTGTGGGAGACCCCTTCAAAACATCGTCCCCAGACCCCTCAGGCCCTCCAAGATAGACTGGAAGAGACCCCCCCGAAATGAGACCCCCCTCCCTTTATTGCGACATCTGGAGTAATGTCTTCCAAGAATTATGGTGGAAATTGTGAAAGAGGGAGGAAGGGAAATGCGGACGGGTGCGAGGAGAATGAAGGGGAGAAGGTGAGCAGGAGCAGGGAGGAGGCCAACCGACAGAAGGAGAACGATGAGTGCGAAGGGGCGAAGGGGGACGAGAAGGAGGAAGGGGGGGAGAAGGAGAGAAGGAGAGGAGGAGGGAGAGGAGCACAAGGGGAACAGCAGGACAGCAGGAGGTGCAGGTTGGACGTGGGATGCAGCTCGCCAGGCATCGTTTCTGTATGGGTTTGGTGGGAAACAATCAAAGAAGCCAAGCAACTCGTCGAACTGCGTACCGTGCCGCCTTCTTCCAAGCCCCCCCTTGTTATTATTCCCCCCATTTTTTCCGATTACCTTTTCCCGACGTCGACCCTGAAGTTCGCGATCCCAGTGGACATACATATGGATGTTTCTGTAAGGCATGCTGATTTTTCTGCAGGGGGCCGTGACCCAGGTTTTTTTTTTTTTTTTTTTTTTTACATGCGCACTGACACTGCGTCGTGTAACCGCTGATTGCACGATATTTTGTTGTATCTGTGTACACGGTATCTCCCCCTTTTTGGCAAGCCCCCCCACATCCAGCTCGACATATGCAACGCTACCGCGCTGTTTTTTAGTGTGGTTGAGATGGTAAAGTAACGATATCCTAAGGCATCGGTAGAGCACGTCCCCGAAGGAAAGGACGTGGGGCGTCAACGAGCGCCGCGGGGGAAGTGTATTCCAAGGCGAAGACGGTACTCTGCCGGACATTGTGCCGTGGGTGCGGCCGTCGCCGCCTCGCCCAGGAGACTCCTCGTGGACAGCAGGCCTTCTGGAGATCCTGACGCAGGCTTGGAGAGTGGATGGCGACCTCGAGCCAGCGAGATCGCGCTGGCCAGCCATCCTAAAGCATGCGGCGCGCGTGGAGAGCCAGTTTCTGAAGTTGAAAACCTTCAAGAAGTGGCCGGAGAAACACGGCGACTGGGCTGCGCCGCCGCACGCGCCTGGGGCCCCTACAGGCCGGAATCCCAAAGAGCGAGAGACGGCCTCGCACGGATTCGCCGCCGCTTTCTCCGCGACCCGCACCATGCAGCAAGCGGCCGATCTCGCAGGCGCGCTTGGCCTGGAAGCCGAGGCGAACCTCTCGGCCGTTGCTCGCAGGATGCGGGAGGAATTTCACAACAGCTTCTTCCACCAGGGGAAACGATCTTACGACACCGGCACAATGTTGAGCTACGTGCTGCCCCTTGCATTGGGCGCGGTGCCGCGCGACGTAGACGCCGAGGTATTCCGCGGCCTGTTGGACCACATTGCCCGCAAGAATGGCACATGGTCTGGCGGCATAATCAACAACCGTTTCCTGTTCGACCTGCTGGCCGACCATGGCCACGCAGACCTCGCGCTGGCCATGCTGAGGCGCAGGGACTACCCGTCGCACGGCTACATGTACTTTAACGACCTGGAGCCCGCGAGGGAGTGCATGTGGGAGGTCCCCGACGCCCCCTTCCAGGGCGACCATATCAACTCCAGGAACCACCACATGTATTCTTCACGCTTCGCGTATCCCCACCAGCGCTGGCCCGGCCGGCCTGCTGCGCGCCCAATAGCTAATTAGGCCTGTTTCCGCGCCCCAGACGGCTTCTGACTCCGCCTGCGCCTTCGCTCGCGGACGCGACCGAAACAAGTATCCCCACCAGCCTCCGTAGTCTGGCTCAAGCCGTCTCTCGGGGGAACTCCTCCCCCCGGCTTAGGACCCACAGGGACGCCTGGACGTCGTGCGGGCGCGCTCCCCCTGCCGGCGCGGACGCTCGACAGGAGGAGGAGGAGGAGGAGGAGGAGGAGGCGGAGGAGGAGGAGGAGGAGGAGGAGGAGGAGGAAGAGGAGGAGGAGGAGGAGGAGGAGGAGGAGGAGGAACAGGAGGAGGAGGAGGAGGAGAAGGAGGAGGAGGAGGAGGAGGAGGTCGTGGATAACGAGGTGGACGAGGACGCGGATGAGGACGAGGACGAGGAGGACGAGGACTAGGATGAGGACGACGCTGACGAGGACTCAAAACATCTAGAGGTATTATTGCGGCTGCTGCTGCTGCTGCTGCTGCTGGTGTTCTCTGGGAGTTTGTGGGGCCCTCTTGGAACCCACTTGGGCTCATCTTGGAGGTCATCGATTACAGGATGGAGGGGGTCCCCAACTCAGCTCTTCCCTCAGGAGCCCGCAAACCGCTTCTTGGGTTCTCTCGTGGAGCCCTTTCGGGCGCTCTTGGAACGGTCTCGGGGCCGTTTGGAGGGAGCCATTTTGGGCCAGCTTGGGCTATGTGAGCCATCTGTCATCTTGGGCTCTGAGGCCGCTCGGGGGCCTCTTGGGGCCGTCTTGGGGCCCTCTTTGGACCCTCCTGGGGCCCAAGAGGGGTTGTCTTGGGGCTGTCTTGGAAGCCCTGGAGCGCCTCTTAGGGCCGTCTTGGAGACCATCGATCAAAGAAGGGGGGGTCCTCGAATTGCCCCCTTCTCAGGGGCCATCAAAGTCGCCCCTTGGGGCTCTCTCGGGGCGCTTTTGGGGCGATCTTGGGCGCTCTCGGGGCCGTCTTGGGGGCTTTTGGGGCCCCTCTTGGAGCTTTCTTGGGCCATCTTAGGGCCATGTTGAAACCTCAAAAACGCATCGGAAGCGAAAAGGCGAGCTGGCAGAAATCATTTGTTTTTTATGGTTTTAAACAGATTTTGGCTTCTCGGGGGGGCCCCGAGGGAGCTCTGAAAACACCTGGAACCGTCTTGTGGCCCTCTTGGGGCGTCTTGGAGGCATGTCGGAAACTGTCTTGAGCCATGTTGGGCTATCTTGAGCGCGATCTTGGAGGCCATCTTGGGCTTTCTGAGGCCCTCTTGGAGCCATCTTGTGCGAAAAAGGACCCTCTGACACATCGTGGGTCGCCCCGTCCAGGTCCAGGGGAGGGTCAGGCTACCCCGTCCCCGCCCGCAAGCCGTCTCGCTCACTCCCACCCGCCCTCCCAACACATACGTAGCACCCGAGCCTGGCCCGAGCCGCAGCATATTCAGCAGTCGTCTTTGGATGGGCAGCTACTGGGGCCGAATCCGCCGCCGCCGCCGCCGCCCGCCGCCGGCGCCGCTGCGCCGCTGCCGCCGTCGCCGCAGCCCGCCGCCGCCGCAGCCCGCCGCCGCCGCCGCCACCGCGCCGCCGCCCGCCGCCGCCGCCGCTGCCGCCGTCGCCGCCGCCCCCGCCGCTGCCGAGTCGCCGCCGCTGCAGCCGCCGCCGCCGCAGCCGCTGCCGCCACCGCTGTCGCCGCCGCCGCCGCCGCCACCGCCACCGCCGCCGCCGCACCCGCACCCGCACCCGCACCCGCCGCCGTCCCCGCCGCCGCCACCGCCGCAGCCGCCGCAGCTGCTGCCCCCGCCGCAGCCGCCGCAGCCGCCGCCGCCGCCTCCAAGTGTAGTTTGTTTTTTTTTTACAGGGATGGTGGGGGGAGTCCGCAGCGGCTTCGCTGCGCATGTTCGAATTTGGAGGCAGAGTGTGTGCTTGTATTGTTTTTTACAAGGGATGGTGGGGGGGTGCCCTCATTGATTCGGGTTGGCTCCCAGTCACCGGGGGAGGGGGTGTTTATTAATAGGGAACAGTGATGACCCCCTTCCCGAAGGGGAAGAAGGGATTGTGGAAGAGGAAAGAAGGTATCGAGAAGTATCGTTAGACCACCTGTCGCCCAGAGGGCTGGTGGGATTCCTCCGTCGGCTCCTACCTCGTCCGCCGGCTGGCGGGTCTGAGCAGCGGCCCTGGTGCGGGGGAGCTGACAGCGGTCGTGGGCCCGAGGGGCCTCCCGAACGCGACGGCGCGCCTGCGCACGCCGCGCGGTGAGGCCGCCTGGGCCTGGGCGTGGACCGGCGACGGCCTCTCGGCAGAGCTCCTCGTGCCCGTGGGGATGCGCGCGAAGGTCTGGCTGCCCGGTGAGCTGTACGTCCGGTTGCCGCCAGGGGCCTCGTCGGGGGGGGGGGGCGCGGGCCCCGACCCGTCGGCTCCGCAGGGGATAGCGATGCCCTCTGGGCGCCACTCGCTGGCGGCGCGGCCCAGAAACAGCAAAAACATCTGAGGCGCAAAATGCGCTTTTGCGCCTCCGCCGCCTCCCCCCGCCTTCTCGTCATCGCCAGTTTTGCTGTCGCAAAGTTGGTGCGCATCTTTGATGCACGGGCTGCGAGGGCAGAGCGGCATGCGCCTGCAGACCTGCAGATAGCAGGGGGCACCATTCCTGCTCGCACCGCGGGCGTTGCCTGCGATCGCAGGCAATGCCCGCGGTGCAACATGTCGCATGCGACATGTTGTTCCAAACCAACCAACAAACAAACAAAACACATTTATATCCTAAGCCATCGACACCCGCCCTCTACGTCTTCGATCGTGCCTCCCTTGAGGGCATACGTAGAGCCCCGCAGCTGTGGAAAAGAGTGAGGGGGCGGCGGGGACGTCGGCAGTCTGCGAGGCTCTGAAGAAGCCCGCCGCAGGCGCTTAATTTTTACAAATTATACAACGAGCTCGCCGATTGCTTCCTTCAAGTAATGTCATTATTTCGTTACAAGTACTCCAGATTTCGTAATAAAAGGGAGGGGGTCTGGACCCTCCAAGACAAGCCATTTCAGACCCCCCCCGTGGGAGAACCCTCCAAAACATCGTCCCCAGACCCCCCCAGGCCCTCCAAGATAGCCTGGAAGAGACCCCCCCCCGAGATGAGACCCCCCTTCCTTTATTACGAAATCTGGAGTAATGTGGGTGGGTCGCGGGGTGGGTCGCGGATGGGTCGCGGGTGGGGTCGCGGGTGGGTTGCGGGTGGGTCGCGGGCGGGTCGCGGAGTGGGTCGCGGGTGGATCGCGGGTGTGTCGCGGGCCAGGCCGCAGGTGGGTCGCGGGTGGGTCGCGGGCCGGGTCGCCAGGGGGACGACGGCAACAAACAGCAAGCACCAAACAACAAACAACGAACACCAAACAACAAGCACCAATCTCCAAACAGCAAACATCAAACAACAAAAAACATACAACAAACAACAACAACAACAACAACAACAACAACAACAATCATTTTACCCGAACGCTCAGTGTTCTCACCAGTGCCAGGGTTTTCATACGACGCCCGCCAATACCCCCACTTTGTGGGGGGGCCGGTTCAAGCTCTACCACATTTCCAAACGACTCTTCGCCACCACCCACACCCAGCTTCCCGCCCTATGACGTTCGGACACTTCACTTCGTGGCATGCGGACGACCGTGGCTACTACACTGGCGCATGGTTTCAATGACTTATTTGACATGTGTCCCGCATGGTATTATTTGACAGGGATGATGGCCCTGGCAGGTGCGCAACCGTTGTCGCAGAAGTTCGAAAAAGTTGCTCGCAAAAGCCCGTTTGACAGAAATGTTTAAAAAGTGTTGGGTTTCCTACGAATCCGCAAGAGCGCGCGGGATGAGATTTTGACATTTTTTTGTTGAAAAACCATTGGTTTTTTGATGTTTTTATGTTAAAATCGCTCCGAACACTAAGGTTTTGGAAGGATTTCGTCTTGCGCGCGCGAATGTCCACTTTACCTTATTTTTTGCAAGGGATTCTTGAAGTTTGGTTATTTAGAACAAGAAATTTCATTTTATAGTGTTTTTTGCAAGGGACAGCGGGGGGGAACAAAACAACCGGATCTTGATGACATCGTATTACCTGAGGCTTCCTCACGAAAATGATGAAAATGTAGCTGCGGCCTAGGCGCGGCGAGGGGGTCGCGCACCAGGGGTCCCAACAATAATTATTCTTTAGAATAAATAATGTTCAACAACAACAACAACAATAACAACAACAATAACAACAACAACGACAACGACAACAACAACGACAACGACAACGACGACAACAACGACAACAACAACAACAACAGCAACCATAGCAACAGCAGCAACAACAACAGCAGCAGCAACAACAACGAAAGCATCAACACCAACAACACCAACAACAACAGCACCAACAACAATGACAACAACAATCATTTTACCCTCATGCGCGATGTGTCCACACGAAACATGCGACAATCATGATAACCATCATCATCATGGGGGATTAATGTTCTATAGTGGGGTCCGTTATCGAGGACGCCGGCGGCGCATCACCGGCCGCTCCCTGGGAGTTTGTCGAAGTGGTGCGCAGCATCGAACGTCGTGACGCTCCAGGGGCCTCTTGGGGGCGTCCCAGGGGCTTCTTGGAGACCTCTTGGGGCCCTCTTGGGGCCTCTCGGGGCTCTCTTGGGGTTTGTTGGGGGCCTCCAGGGGGCCTCTTTCCTTATCTAGCGTTCCTTATGGTAGCGCGACGACTGTGTGTGTTTGCTTTGGACCTGGTGCCTAAGCTCTGGGAGTTCGGAGGCGACGATAGGGGCGAGTAGCCTAGGGGCGGACATCGCACGCTTTCGCCCGAGAGCCTCGCCGAGGGCATGGACCATCGGCGCCCTTGGAGACGTGTGTTTGACTTCCCCTGCGCTGCTCGCCCACATAGTCGCCCCCGAGGAGCCCGCAGGGCCACCGACGCCATGCCCCGGCGGCGCCGTGGCTCCCGCCCCCGCTGTCGCGCGCGAGAGGCTGGTGGGGCTGTCCGCGGCCGAGCGGGCCGCGGCCATCGGCGCGCTGAACGGCCCCCAGCGGGCCGGCCTGCGCCAGTTCCTCGAGGCGGTCGTCGTCGTCGTCGTCGTCGTCGTCGTCGTCGTCGTCGCCGTCGTCGTGGTCGTCGTGGTCGTGGTCGTCGTCGTCTTCGCCGTCGTCGTCGTCGTCGTCGTCGTCATCGTCGTCGTCGTCCGTCGCCCGTTGTCCGTCGTGGTCGTGGTCGTGGTCGTCGTCGTCGTCGTCGTCGTCGTCGCCGTCGTCGTCATCGTTGTCGTTGTCGTTGTCGTTGTCGCCGTCGTGGTCGTCGTCGTTTTCGCCGTTGTCTGTCGTTCGTCGTCCGTCGTTCGTCGTCGTCATTCGTCATTCGTTATTCGTCGTCCGTCGTGGCTTGTCGGTCGTCGCTGGTCGGTTATCGCTGGTCGGTCGTCCGTCGTTCGTCGTCGTCCGTCGTCGTTGGTCGATAGTTTCTGGTCGGTCGTCGTCTTCGGTGGTCGATCGTCGTCGTGGTCGGTCGTCGTCGTTGGTGGTCGTCGGTCGAGGGTCGAGGGTCTGCGGCGACGACGACGCCGCCGTGTCGTCGATTCTAAGGTTGCTGGGCACTTTGGAGGTTCTCATCGCCACGGCTGGACGCAGTTTGAAAAGCTAACTTTGATGGATCCCGGGAGCGTTCCATGGGCAGGTGTTTTACCAGACTGGTCGGAGGGGGAGCGTCCTCTTCAGGAGCTGGAGGACAAAAGCCGAGGATCGAAGCGTAAGCGTTTTTTTGCTGATATTTGTTAGCCACCCTTTTCCTTTTTCCCAATTTGTATCCTACCCTCGTCCCGTCAGAAGCTCAGCCCGTTTGCCTTTGGGAGTAGGCTGGCTAACCTACTTGGCGAGCTACTGATGTAGGGCACCTGCGCTGGGCAGGATCTTTTAATACATTTGCGCGATCTACTTGGTAAGCCCACGACGCTTCAAGCAGGAGTAGTCTTTGGAAGCATTCCGAAACTCGCGCACTTCGTAGGGTGTCCGCAGTCTTCCAGAGGCTTCCAGGTGCCTCCTGCCCTCTTTCTGGCGCTGCCCTGAGGCTTCTCCTCACCTCCCCAAGCCCATCCTTCTTGTCCTCCTACTCGTTTTCTTTCTCCTCCTGTTCCAGTCCTGCTCCTCCTGCCCATTTCCCCATGCGTCCTTCTTCCTCATAGATGTATTATCTTCCTGTCATGCCGTCAGACGTGCCCGTATTCCGTTCTGGGCCTTTCGTTGGAGATTTCCTTGCAGATTCCACTCTGGAAGATGGAACAAGAAACCGAGATTGGAGGGACGGCGGTACTCACATTCGTTTAAGAAGTGCCCAGCATGGACAATGTTTGCCAGCGCGGGCCCCAAACAGTGTGTTGTAGCATGCTGTGAAGTGCAGTCCACGTGGTGCAATGTGTGTGGTGCAAGCTATGTAGTGCAGTCTATGTGGTGCAATTCGCTCGCCGAACGTGAAGTTGTCAACTCCACTGCTCGCGCAATCATCCCACCCACCCACCCGCAGTTTTGTTAGCAAAACCCACGCGGAAGCGATTGCGAGGAGTGCTTGGTGTTGGCTGGTGCATCTCTGCGGCCGCGCTGGCCCGCGCATGCTCGCGCGCGCAGCTGCCGGCTAGTTTGGCGCGACCGACGCGAACGCGGTGGCGCTGACCGCTGGGCGCCGCCCAGCGGGCATTTCAGTGCGAGTCGGCAACTTGGGCGGGCGCGGTGTCATGGCAACGTCGACAACGTTAGACACGATGATGATAGTAGCGATGCTGGTGGCGATGCCGACAGTGACGACGGGGCAGCCAGTGACGGCGCCGATGTTGGTCACGCCGACGACGATGACGGCGTCTTCGCGTCGGTGATGAAGGTTTTGGAAGGAGTTCGAAATGCGCGTGCGGCAGACGCGCGAGAGTGGCCCGCGTGGAATTATTTGACACGGATCGTTCGCTGATTGTTGAAGCGTCTCGGAACAAAAATGTGCCCTCTCGCGCACCCCTCTTCAGCCCCTCTCCGACAAACACAGGACGCCCGGGGGTTCGAGGCAACCGAACAGGGCCCCACGACAGCCCAGGTTGGACCCAATTCAGTCCCAATTTGATTTCAAAAAGCGCCCCAAGCTGGCCCAGGAAGCGCCCAAGATTGCCCCATAACGGCCCCAAACGCTCCATCAACCATGTTGCACAGAGGCGCAAGAGAGTTCAATAACAGCCGAAATGCCCTTTCTGGGGGGCTCTCTAAGAGTCGAGAGTCTTCTTGGACCTCCGCAAACACGGGATGTTCCCGGAGGCTTATCCTGGAACAGCTGGCCGACGACGACAATGACGATATTGATGTTCGCTGTTGTGATGATGGGGATGATGACGGGGAGACCGATGACGGCGACGACGTGCACGATGAGCGTAATGGCGTTGATGATGACGACGATGATGGGCAACAGTGATGGTGATGGTGAGGACGACGAGGACACGCTAGTGTGACGCGGCAACATGGCTAGCAGCACTTGCCCAAGGATGCCCCCCATGACGACGATGATGTTCATGATGATGACTGTGATAAAGGTTATTGCATAGTATAGGATTGACGCGATAACGATTATAAGGGGGAGAGGATGAGGATGGCGAAGACAAGAGGAATGATGATGATGAAGATGGATGCGATCATGGCACGCGCTTGTGCGTGATAGTGTTGTCCAAGTACTTCCAGCAACTCCTGTCCTGCGCTCGACTTTGAGCAAACGCGAAGCACGCGATCTCTCACCCTTTCAACATATATGCATGTGTCTGTGTACTTGTATGGGTGTACGTACATCTGTGTAGTGCAAACGTGTTCACATGTATACATAACCACATGCATGCACGCATGCATACATCCAAACATATATATATATATATATGTATATATGCGTGTATGCAAACACGCGTCGTTATGTGTATGTTTATGTGTGTATGTATGTATGCATACATGCTTGTATGCATGGTTGTATGTGTATGCATGCATATATGTATGTATACCTGCATGCATGCATGTATGCATGTATGTGCATATTTGTGTATACGCATGTGTATATAATAGGGTCGGGGCCCGTCGACCAACTGCCACAAGTCCCCATGGGGGCCCCAGGGCCCCCAGGACGTCCCCGTGGCCGCCTCAAGGGCTCCCAGGCAGCCCTGGAAGCCGCCAAGATAGCCACAGAGAGCCCAGCGTCGCCAAAAATTGTTCCAAGACCAGAGGTCCTCGAGAAAGCCTGGGAGGCTTCCAAGTCGCCCCGAGAGGCCTCCAACCGCATTCTCTCTTTGGCCCCACGAAGCAAAATGTTTTATTCCCCAGAGGTTTGTGAATGAGTTTCGCCATCCCGCCTGTCCGCCCCAAGACGGCCTCAGAGGCCTCCTCGGGGGGGTCCAGGACGGCCCAAGAGGCGCCCCAGACGGGCCCACGCGCGTTGAAGACGGCCCCAGAGAGCACCCTAAACGACGCAAGACATCCCCAGGAGGCTCCAGAGAGCCCCCCAAATGCCCGAACAGAGGCGCCCTCTGCCCCAAAAGGCCTCCGCGACGCCCCAAGAATCCCCAAAAGGGCTCCAGAAAGACCCGACAAACTCCCGAGAAGCCCCCACCGAGCTCGCAGGAGGCCTCCACACTGACCCTCGGAGACCCGCCAGGAGCCCTTCGTCCTCCCTGCTCCGGAGCAGCCCTTCGGAGCACGCGGCCCTGGCTGCGCCCCCCGACCCGCCCACCCAATGCCGATGCCCGGGGACGCCCCCATGACGCTTGCAAAACGCCCCGGAAACGCCTCTCCCGCACACGTGGACCAGGTGACAATGATGCTGATCGTCAGTGGTCCGTCGTCGTCGTCGTCGGTCGTCGCTGGTGCGCTACAGGCCAAACCCTTCCTTGAACTTCGCAGTGTCCGCCCGAAAATCACGCATGGGTGAAGGGGAGGAACCCGGAAGACCACATGGAAAAGGTCCCATGGAAATTGACACCGTCTTCGGAGTCGACTTGAACGCGCGCGTGGTTCTAGTCAATGGTAATATGGACAGTATACTTGTCTTCCGCATGCACGTTATCGATGGGAAATAGCAGCGGTTGGTGTCGGTGATGAAGGGTACACGTTGATGTTCACTGCGCGTAGGAATTTTACAACATGTTACCCATGGTGGGCCCCACACTGTGGTCTCTTGCAACCCTTGTGGTACAATCTACGTGGCGCAACTCATGTCGCACCCCTATGTGGTGCAATCTATGTGGTGCAATGCATGTGGCGCAATTCGTGTCGTGCGCTCTACGTGATGCAATCTATGTGGCGCAATGTACGCGGTGCACTCTATGTGGTGCAATCTACGTGATGCAATTGACTACCCTGCACCGCGCTTGACCACCTCCACTGCTCGCGCAAACATTCCACCCACCCACCCGCAACTTGGCTTGCAAAATCTCTTAAGACCGTGACGGTGGGTACCAAATTGCTCTTGGCAGCGACAGCGACGCCGACGACGACAGCGACAACGACGACGACGCCGCCGCCGACAACGACTACGACGACACCGACGACGTCTCCAACGACTTCGACGACGCCGGCAGCGACGACGACGACGACGACACCGAGTTCGACGACGACGACGACGACGACGTCGACGCCGACGACGACGACGATGACAACGATGACGACAATGACGACGCCGACGACGACGACAACGATCACACCGACGACGACGACGACGTCAACGAAGCCGACGACGACGACGACGCGATACAGGCGCCGACGACGACGACGAAGACGACGACGACGTCGCCAACGAAGACGACGACGAGGGAGGAGGGAGGACGACGACGGCGACAACGACGACAACGACGACAACGACGAGGAGGGAGGACGGTGACGACGCGAACGACGAAGAAGGAGGAAGGACGGCGACGCCGACGACGACAACGACGAGGGAGGACGACGACGACGACGACGGCGACGAAATACGAGGGACGACGACGAGACGCCGACGACGACGACGACGACGATGGAGGAGGAGGAAGGACGACCACGGCGACAACGACGACGGAAACGACCACGACGCCAAAGAGGACGACGACGACGACGAACACGAGGAAAGACACAGGATGACGTAGGCGACGACGACGACGACGACGCGGGAGGAGGGAGGACGGCGACGACGACGACGCAAGAGCGCGCGCGCACGCTTTTGTTGAAAATCCGTGTTGCGACACCTTGTGTTTTTGTAGATTTTTTGGACACACGATTTTGAATTCCTTCCGAAACCGATGGGTTTTGAAGGATTTCGGCATACGCGCGCGACGACGCGCGCGTCTGCACTTCGTCTCATTTGTTGCAAAGGATTCTCGCGACGCCACACGCGCAAGGGCGTTCGACAGATTTCGACATGCGCGCGCGAAGCCCGATTGGTAGCATTTTGTAAAAAGCATGAAAAAACTATGGTATTCTTAAGATTTCGCAAGAGCTCGCGCGTAAGTTTTTTTGCAAATTAGTGTTGCGAAACCATTTGTTTTTGTATGTGTTTTTTGGAAACTCGATTGCGAAATCCACCGAAGGTTTTTGAAGGATTTCGGCATGCGCGCGCGACGACGCGCGCGTGTGCACTTCGTCCCGTTCTTTGCAAGGGATTCGTGAACAAGTCTTATGCTAGAGCAAGACATGTCCCCGCGTATCGTTTTCTATACGGGAACCTCAGGAGGACCGATACCGGTTCCCCTGGGATAGTGTAAATTCATATTTCGGATGGACATGTGGTCAGAATCGTATATGATTTACATACCCGAGAGGGGGGCGGCGAACGCCGTTGGGGGGAGTAGAGTCTATTTCTTTTCAGAAAGGAGAAGCATTGTGGCACAATCGATATGATGCAGTCGACGTAGTGCAATCTACGTGTTGCCATCTATGTAGTACATGCAGTCTACGTGGTACAATCCATGCGGCGCGAAAACCGACGTGGCGCAATTCATCACTGCTCAACATGAAGTTGTCAACTCCACTGTTCGCGCAAACATCCCACCCACCCACCCGCAACTTGGTTTGCAAACCCCATGCGGCGGCGATTGCGATGAGTGCTTGGCGCTGGCTGGTACATCTCTGCGGCCGCGACAGCCCGCGCATGCATGCGCGCGCATACACTTTCGCGCGACCGACGCAGCCGCGGTGGCGCTGACCGTTGGGCACATCCCAGCGGGCACTTCAGTGCGAATCGGCAACTTGAGCGGGCGCGGTATCATGGCAACGTGGACAACGGTGCACACGATGATGATAGTAGCGATATTGGTGACGATGCTGGCGACGACGACCAAGGCCAGTGTTGTCGCGGATGCTGATCACGCCGGCGACGATGACGGCGCCCTCGCGTAAGCGATGAACGTTTTGGAGAAGGTTCGACATGCGCGCGCAGCCGACGCGCGAGAGTGGCCCGCGTGGTATTACTTGAAGCGGATCGCGTCCCCCCCCAGCACGCGCGCAAGGGCGTGCGAATGATGCCGGCATTCGGCGCGAGAGGCCCGTTTGGCAGAATTCCATGAGCATGCTGAGAAAAACGGTGGTTGTCAGAAGAATTCGCAAAATCGCGAGCGCACGCTTTTTTGCCAACTGATGTTGCGAAACCGCTTTAAAACATGATTTTGGGACATTCGGTTTTGCAATCGCTACGAAACCGAAGGTTGTTGAAGGATTTCGGCTTGCACGCGCGACGACGCGTTCGCGTGCACTTCGTCCTTTTTTTGCAAAGGGTTCTCGCGACGGCACGCGCGCAAGGGCGTTCGAACGATTTCGACATGCGCGCGCGAAGCCCGTGTGATAGCGTGTTGTGAGAAGGTTGAAAAACCAATGGTTTTCGGAAGAATTCGGAAGAACGAATGTGCACGTTTTTGGAACATCCATGTTGTGAAACCCTGCGTTTTTTAATATGTTGTTTGGATATTGAACTCCTTCCTGGACCTAAGATTTTTGAGGGATTTCGGCATGCGCGCGCGACGACGCGCGCGCGCACTTCGTCCCATTTTCCGCAAAGGATTGTTGAAACATTATGATGTTTGATAACCGGGTGTGCGCGCATAGTATTTTTTGTAAAGGATGGACATTTGATCAGAATCCTATGTGTTTAGCATCGGTTCTGCGGGGGTGGATAAGCCCGGGGGGGAGGGTGGTAGAATTCATTTTTTGCAAAACAGGAGAGTCTATGCGGCGCGGGGCGGCGACGGCCACGACATAGTCGCCACACACACAAGCAAACGCAGGCGACGGGCGGCGACGGGGCGAAGACGACGACAATATAGCCGCCAGACCGACCGACGGGCCCACACGATGGGCGACGACGAAGCAGCGACGGACCGGCGACGGCGACAACGCGGACGCCATGCCGACGAACAAAGAAGCAACAGGCCCAATGTGCAAACATTGTTCGGGGAAAAAATAAATTCGCAATCTGACTTCGCGCGATACTCACGCGCGATGTTTTCCCAAGAAAAGGAAGATGAAGAAAAAAAGGGCCATGTTCATCAATATCAATCGGTCGCGCGAGCAGTTTGCAGGAAGTGGGTGGAAGATGGGGGGAAGGAAAAGGAAGGGGGTGGAGGAGGAAGGCGAGGCAGGGGAGTGGCAAAAGGGGGGGGGGAGGAGGAGGAAGACGAGGAGGAGGAAGAGGAGGAAGAGGATGAGGATGAGGATGAGGATGAGGATAATGATGAGAATGCGTGCGCAGTAATGATGACCTGGGGGCCGTTCTGAGACACGAGTAGGGGGAAAGGCAGCAGTGCATAGCAACCGCGCCCGTTCCATGCTCCATAGCCTTCTGTTGCTCCCGCGTCTGCGCGCCGCTGGCCAGTCGCGGGGCATCCGCGCATGTTTGGCAGGCTCGGGCTGCCCGACGCCTTGCTGGACGGCGCGCGGGAGGCTCTGCGGTCGGCGAGCGTCGCGACCTTGGTGTGGGCTGGCCAGGGCTCCCAGAGTTGCACTGCCTGCCCCGAGTGTCCGAGCTGTACCTGCTCTCCCTCTTTGGCGTGCCCTGCCTTGCAGTGCCCGTCCTGCACGCTGGGAGGGGCCACCTGCCCCAGCTGCCCGAGCTGCCCTGAGGTCAGCTGCCCCGAGGTGGCGGTCGACCTCGGCAGGTGGTGGCTCGTCGCGGTGCTGCTCGCTGGCCTGGTGGGGTTTGCTGCGGGCTGCTGCGTGGGGGCGATCTGGGGCGCAGGGTTTCGGCGCATCGTGCATGGCCGAGGCGAGACCTATCGCTCCAGGCCGCCTGGTCCTGGTGTGGTACGGGGGCGGGGAGGCGTACTAGCACGAGCGCCTCCTGCTCTGCCAGGTCGTCATCGCACCGCCTGATGGAGATGTCTATCCAGAGGACACCTTTGAGCTCAACTGCAAGCCATGCTGCCAGGGGTCGATCCCGCCGTCCATCCCAGCAAACGCCTTGCTGTATAGGTTCGCGCCGCTCGGACAGTTGCACACACCAGCGGAGTGGCGTCAGATCTTCGAGGATGGGATCGCGACTGCGCAGATGGAGAGGGCCAACAGGGGCATCGCCGACGCTGCTGCTGATGCAGAGTCTGGCGCTGTGCGCGACCGTGTGGCTCTACACGGGTGGACCGCGCACGCTGGACTGCCAGGCGGGCCACCCGCTGCCGTCGCTGGTGCAGGGGACGGGGCCGTGGTGCCCATGGCCGCGGGGCCGCCTGGGCTGGGAGGGCCCCCGCCGCTGCCGCCGCCGGCAGCACCGCCTGCGGGTGGGCTCGCCGCTGCAGGCGGAGGCGCCGCCGTCCCGCTGGCTGGAGTGCCCCTGGGAGCTGACGCCTTGCCAGGGGCCGCTGGGTCAGCGCACCGCCAGTGGATCGTGGTGGCCAACGATGGGCAGCCAGGAGCGCCAGCAGTCGGAGCTGATTGGAGTGAGGACGCGAGTGCGGTCATCGTGGGCAACTTCGCGCTTGTCAAGCTCGGCACCTCGACCCTCGTCTTGGAGAGTATCGACGTCGGCAGCAAGCAGCTCAAGCTGGTGGCCATGAGGGGCGAGCTTGAGCAGGCTGTGGCTGCGGCGTCGGGAGGCGGAGCTGGACCACAAGCGGGGGCAGCAGCCGCATCGGCTGGAGCTCAGCTCAAGGCCACGGACGCACGGGTGCTGCCAGTGCTCTATGACCAGATGGGCCAGAGGTTTCGCTTTTTCGTTGACGCAGTAGGCCTGCTCGAGGAGCCGCGCTTCACGGACTTCCCGATCCAGGGCCCGAGGACCTCGTTCTGGCTTTGCAGGTTCATTCGCGATCAGGGACAGGTGCCGCGGACCAGGACCGAGAAGTGGATGCGGGACGCCCATGTGCCTGACAACGACAGGGTCAAGCACGAGCATAGCAGCCTCATGGAGATCCTTGAGTATGCTCTCACCCATGACCAATTGGATGTGTCATCATTGGCCTCGTTTGAGATCCTGGTGCGAAGGGTTCAGTTATTGGAGGAGGCCTACACGTCGAATCCGAAGGCGCCGAGGTTCGAGGGGAGCGAGCACTACCAGGGGCTCGGCAGGGGGGTCGCCGCTGCGGCCCCGAAGCTCACCTCGCGCGTTGCTGGGCAGCTGCAGGGCGAGGCGCAGATCCGGAAGGGGCGACGCAAGGCCCGCGAGGAGGCGGCCCTTGCGCGCAAGGGCTAGCCGCCCCGCGGCATCTACGTTTTCGTGGCCCGCTCAGGGCCACCAGCCAGTCGAGGCCGTCTTCGGAGACCTTGGCGCCTTCACCGCAGTCGGGGCCGCCATCAAGGACCTCGGCGAGATTTTGTTTGAGGCGTGGCGGATGGTCGCCAGCGTGACCTACTGCCGCTGTCAAGGCTGGGCGAGATTGAAGTCCCACGCGGCGCTCTCTGTCGTGTAGTTCAGCAGCGTATTTGTCGTCGCGCGTGGGTTGACAGGCGCGTCGACGAGACAGTTTGGGCCAATGAGCTTGGAGGGGTTGGCAGCGCGCCGCTCGGTGGCCCAGGCGGAGAGCAGACGCGCGCTGCTGCTGCTGCTATGGTCCGAGATGCTGCGTCGGCCACGCCCCTACCTCGAGGGCGGCCCGCTCCGCATGAAGCCCTCGCGGCGCACCGTTTGGTTCGGCGCCAGTCTCGCTGCCGGGCCGCGACTTGTCAGGGGTGGACATCTACCAGGTTCTGCCCGCGGACGCGTCGCACAAGCTCAAACGGTTTCGCGACACCATTCTTCTCAGTGGCGAGGAATATGCACTGCGTATCAAGAGCGAGGGACTGCCCAACCTATACTTTGACCCAGTGCTGGAGGCACAGCCCGCCAAGTGGGAGGGATTTTGTCGGGATCTACGTGGCAGGGGGCTGGTGCGCTGGACCCGAACCTACAAAGAAAGGGTTTGCTTGTTTTTTGTTCGCAAGAAGAGTGGTGATTTACGATTCATATGTGATGCGCGTCGGAGTAACGTTCGGTTCGATATCCCTGATTCCATTCAGCTTGCTACTGGTGACTCGCTCAGCCGTCTCGAGAGCAGCTCCGAGCAGGCCATCTACTCTGCCAGTTTTGACATCGAGGACTACTTCCACGAACTCAGGATCGATGAGGAGCTCTCGCAGTACTTCGCGCTACCAGCGGTTCGGGCATCGGCAGTCGGGGCGGAGAGCATCAATGGCATCAAGGTCGACACCCACGAGCTCATCTACCCGGCGCTGCAGTCTCTGCCCATGGGCTTTCGTGGGCCATGTGGGCGGCGCAGCTGGTACACGAGGAGGTTATGCGTCGCGCTGGCCTGCCTCCTCCTCGCTTTCTTCGCGACGGCGCCCCGCCGCCCTCGCTGGGCGGGGGGCCCGTGCACATGGCCTACGTTGACAACTTTGGGGCCATCGGCTGTGACAAGGCCGAGGTCGAGGCTATGCGCCGCCAGGCGCTTGAAGGCGCCAAGAAGGCTGGGTTTCACGTTCACGAGATCGAGCGCGTCAGTACATCCTTGGACATCATTGGCGTGCACTTGGATGGCGAGAGGAAGGTGGTCACGTTGTCTGCGGCGAGGTCATGGCGGATCTATGCTGGGCTGCGCGCACTTGCGCGGCGGGGACGGTGCACTGGGAGGGAGATGCGGGCCATCCTGGGCCACCTGTGCTTCGCCTTCTTGCTGCGCCGCCCGTGTCCATCCTGCATTGCTGCCGCGTCTGCCTTTGCCGAGTCCGCTGGTAACGACTGCAAGAGCCTCTGGCGCAGCGTCAAGAGGGAGTTTCTCATCGCTGCCGCGATCTTGCCGCTGGTCTACGCGGGCATCGCGGCGGGCTGGCTTGACCAGGTTGTGGCGACTGATGCGAGCACTACTGGTCTTGGCGTTTGCGTTGCGCAGTGGACCACGCATGCTATCCAGCTCGCAGGCGTCCACGACGAGCGCTGGAGGTTCAAGAAGGACCCGCAGCGCAAGCGCAGGGAGGTCGCCCTGGCGGGCTACGACGTCGCCGAGCCTCCGGTCGACAGGGGCGGCAACCTCACAGTTGACAGCGACGAGGGCGCCTGGCTGGCCGTCGGGGACTTCCCAGATGTCGAGCCCGCCGCCGTCAAGGAGGCGAAGTGGGCCGTGGTCGCCAAGCGCCCCTGTGGCAGTCACGAGGGTGCCATCCATGTCAAAGAGGCGAGGGGCGCGAAGCTCGGCCTCAAGCACGTGGTCCGATGTGGCCGCTGGCGGCACAGGAAGGTCCTCATGCTGGTCGACAACATGGGACTGGTGCTGGCGCTCCAGAAGGGTCGATGTCGCGACCCAGCTCTCCTCGGTCAGCTTCGTCAGATGGCCGCTTTGCAGCTCGCCACTGGGCTGCGGGCGCAGTTTCGCTGGACCCCGTCCGAGGTCAATCCTGCAGATCGACCTTCGCGGCAGTGGGGGCCGGTAGTGGCTGATGCTGGCCCTGCATGGCGTCCTCCTCCTGGGCTTGTTCATCCTGATGCCTAGGGCTGTCACGAGGGCGCCGGGTGTGGTCCGCAGGAGGCCTGCTGGCGTGACGGCGCGCAACGTGGCTCCGCGAATCGAGACCTCCCCCGCTATGCACTTGGTCAGCTTGGAGACTCGACTTCGCGAGCAGCAGCCTCTGGTGGACGCAGGGTCAGGACCATCCGAGCAGGCGACCCTGCCCCGCCCCCTGGCGATGCCAGCCGAGCGCCCAGGCGGCTCGCGGAGATCGCGGTTCACAACCTCGACAAGGCAGGCTGCCGCGCGCCGGTCTGCCAGCGGCGGAGGCCTCTCCCACCTCGAGAGTATCGCGGCGAGGCCTGTCCAGGTCGAGGACTACCACAAACGGATCGAGGAGTTCTATAGGTTCGTCCGCCGCCAGGGCTTGGGCACCTGCACCCTGGACTCCCTGGAGGCAGCGCTCCTGGACTGGGCGGGCGACGCGTTCTTGGAGGGCAGGAAGAAGCACGACGGCGAGAAGCTGAAGGCGGCTGTCCTGCACTACTACCCGAACCTCAAAAGGCCCAACACCAAGCCGCTCGCCAGGGTCGAGAGGTACCTGAAGGCCTGGGGGCGTCGGCGGCCTGCGCTGGGCCGACTGCCGCCGCCGTGCCCTGCGATCTGCGGTCTGGCGGCGGGCCTTCACCTCCTGGACCACACGGACATGGCGGTGGCCGTGTTGGTCGCGCTCAGCGCCTACTTGCGGCCAGGGGAGCCGCGTGGTCTCCGCGTGCGCGACGTCGCCCCTCCCGCGCTGGGCTACGGGGCGGAGTGCCAGAAGTGGTCGCTGATCCTCGGGCCGTCGGACGGTCAGGGCGACCCGACCAAGACAGGCGTGCACGACGACAACGTGACGATGGACCACGAGAACCTGCAGTTCCTCGGGCACTTCTTCGAGCTGCACCGCCGCGGGAAGGCCCCCGACGAGCCGCTGTGGAGCTTCACGCAGGCGGGGCTCGGGGCCATGATCGCCAACGCGCTCAAGGTGTGCAACCTCGAGGGCCTGGGCATCGCGCCCTACTGCCTGCGGCGCGCAGGCCCTTCGTGGGACGTCATCGCGGGCAGGAGGTCGCAGCTGGAGGTGCAGCGTCGCGGGCGCTGGGCCAGCATCAGCTCGCTCATCAGGTACGAGAAGTCGAGCAAGGTGAACTCCATGCTGGTGAACCTAGACGACAGCGCCCAGGAGAACCTCAGGCTCTGCTGCGCGGACCTTGGCAGCATCCTCCTCGGCGCGGTCCGCGCACCCCGACCGCCTGGTTGGATCGCGGCGACATCTTCCTTGACATCTTTGCCAGCTCCGAGGGGGTCGGCAAGGCGGCGGCGAGGTGTGGCAACTCGTCGCTAGAAGTGGAGATACAGAGCGGCCTCGACCTGCTCGCGCCAGGAGTGATGGAGGCCCTGCTGAAGCTGGTGAGCTCAGGCCGGGTGAAAGGAATGTGCCTGGCGACGCCTTGCCGATCCTTCAGCATGGCAAGAAGAGCGCCTCCTGCTTCGGCTATGCCCAGTGCTGTCCGTTCTCCTGACCAAATCTGGGGCTTCTCGAATCTCTCTAATAAGAATAGGAAGGTGTGCGTAGAGGGCGACCAACTCGCCAAGGCAACATGCAAACTCGTTCGGCAAGCTATTCGATATGATGTACCCTTCATGATAGAGAACCCTGCCTCATCCATGATTTGATCCATTCCGTTTCTGAAGCACCTCAGCAGTTCCAAGTTTGCAAAGTTTGTTTTTCTCGACCAGTGCCAGTTCGGGACTGATTTCAGGAAGCGGACGGGCCTCCTCATGTCCTCAGATGTTGACGACTCCTTCCTGCAGCATGCATGTTGTGGGAAATCAGGCGTGTGCTCGCGCGCGGGCAAGCCTCATGAACACTTAGAGATGAAAGACAAAAGTGGCTGGAAGACTGACCGTGCTAAACATTACCCATTCCGCCTGTGCTCCGCTATTGCGAACACCTTCAGATCCCTGTGGGCCCGAAAGCACGTGGCATGTTCAATGGCACGATCGACACCCCGGCCAGGAACGACGGCCTCTCCGCCCCGAGCCCGCCCGAGGCCAAAACCTCTGTGAGATTGGGGGCATTCTCTTGGGGAAGTACGGGACACAGTTTCAAAGCTTTCTGTGACTTGTGGTGGCAAGCTTGCATTGAATCCTTCTGGGATGTCGTTCTATTGGCCACGGAAATCATCATGAGAGTGCGTGCGCAGCAATGATGACTTGGGGGCCGTTCTGAGACACGAGTAGGGGGGAAAAGGCAGCAGTGCATAGCAGCCGCGCCCGCTCCATGCTCCATAGCCTTCTGTTGCTCCCGACCCAACCCTCCCTGGGACACAGTTTCAAAGCTCTCTGTGTCTAGTGGTGGCAAGTTTGCATTGAATCGCTCTGGGAGTTCGTTCTATTGGCCACGGAAATCATCATGATGATGCTGATGATGAGGAGGAGGGGGAGGAGGAGAAAGAGGAGAGGAGAGGAGGAGGAGGAGGAGGAGGAGGACCAGTGTAAACCCAAGAGTCATCAGCGATGTTGGAATTAACCCTCCGTCCAAGCTCCTGCCTTACAGGCCCCTACAACGGTTCATTTCCATTGAGGGAACTGCCTCGTTGGAAGACAACCGTTTGAAGACCTTGAAGCATGCCAACACATTATACTCTGGATTTCCACGCCACGGAACAACTTGACTGCTGCGTCCTGACGGAATCGTGTCAAAACGCCGTCGTTTTTACTTCAAAAACCACGAACCAACATAATGTTTGCACCCGCATAATCCTGAATCCGTCCATTTTTTGGCACGCTGGTCATGGGAGCCCGTGCAATGTTTGCATTTCCAAGTACTTATAATAGTACTAATAATATATCACATATGTATACATACACCTGTATAGATAGCGATTGTGCAAGGCGTTAAAGGGGAAACCACATTTCGAAAAGGAACGGTCATCCATCCGCGAAGATCTTGCAAATCCTCCAAAGGAATGTGCGCGGCGCTAAAGCGATAACCACATTTTGAAAACGACCCACCCGCAATCCGCGAAACTTATTGCAAATGTTTAAAGCGAATGTGCGCGGCGCTAGGAGGCGAGAGCCACATCTTGAAAACGACCCGCCCTTAATCCGCGAAGCTCTTGCACATGTTTCAAACGAATGTGCGCGGTGCTAAAGCGAGAGCCACATTTTGAAAACGGCCCGCCCTCAATCCGCGGAGCTCTTGTAATTTGTTCAAACGAATGTGCGCGGCGCGAAAGCGACGGCCATGTTTTGAAAACGGCCTGCCGTCAATCCGGGAAGCTCTTGCAAATGTTTAACGAATGTGCGCGGTGCTAAAGCGAGGGCCACATTTTGAAAACGACCCGTCCTCAATCCGTGAAGCTTTTCCACATGTTTAAAGCGAATGTGCGCGTCGCGAAGGCAAGAGCCACATTTTGAAAACCACCCGCCCTCCATGTGTGAAACTGTTGCCATGTTTAAAGCTTCGCAGTCATAAATGGTGAGGAATTCTCAGCCGACACGCCCGGCCCACCTTCAAAATTGGCTTCGGGGTGCGGCAGGGAGAAGGCATGTTTAAGGAAAGTGAGCGGGGGAGGAGGAGGAGGAAGAGGAGGAGGAGGAGGAAGAGGAGGAGGATGAAAAGGAGGAGGAAGAGGAGGAGGAGGAGGAAGAGGAGGAGAAAAAGAAGGAGGAGGAGGACAAGGAGGGGGATAACCATAACATCAGATTGAAGCGGTCGGACACCAATCGCAATCAAAGCAGTGAAAGTTACTCGAAGATTTAATCGCATTAGCTCTGCATTCGGTGTTTGCGGGGAATACGCAGGTGGCCTACAAGGGGCTCCACAGCATCAACTGTTTGGGGGTCCCGCTGCGCCGCGGCAGGGGGCTCCTGCGCGAGGTCTATTCATGGATACTTTCCTAGTCCATGCGCCTTGCATTCGAGCGCGAGGGTCGCCGCAGAGCTCCCCCTCGCCCCCGTTTCCCTTGTGTTTACGAGGGCGCGACGAGCAGGCTGCCCCCCGCCATTCGCTGAGCAAAACTACGGGAGACGAGGCCTGGAAAATAATGTAAATCAAACGCGCTTCGCTGCGCGCCGAGCTCCGCCTCCCCCTTATCCACCTTGCCCAAGTAAGAAAGGGCCCTGGGCGATGGATCCGCCCTCACTTTCGGCGCCTTTTCGGGCTTCGCCTGGGTCAACGTCGGGTCCGCCGGCGCCAGCGCCGCCGCCGTTGCCCCCGTCGCCTGGAGGCGCGCCCGCCGACGCCGCGCCGTCGAAGTGCAGTTGGTCGAAGCTGTATATGCGGACGGGGGTCCGCCACTCCGGCGCGACCGGCGAGCGCGGGGCGGGCTGCGGGGCAGCCTGCGCCCCCGGCAAGACATACTCAATTTGTTGCTTGCCCGCCAAGCCTTCCCTCAGAACAGCTCCGCACGAATTTCTTCAGGGGCGTCTGCGCGGCAGCCAGACTGGGCTGGGGCAGATCCCCCTGCAATGTGAGATCGCGCCCCTTTTAGGGGAAGGTCTGGCATGCAACCCACCTCCCCCCCAAACAAAGGCATTAGGCATGCTGGCCGAATTCCCGGAGGGCCCGTGCCGCCCTTTCCCGCGACCCTATATACTCGACGATCTCCAGGGCAACCGTACTTCCCCGCGGCGCCACGGCCCGCGCGATCTGAGCGCACAAAGAACATGCGACGCAAAACTTCGGCCAGGCAGTCGGGCCAGGGCAGTGCAGAGTGTGCGCCGGATCTCGGACCGGCCCGAGCTCGATGGATTGTAGATTAGGCCAGTCGCAACGACCTGTCGATGCAGGTGGGCGGCTCGACGTTGCGGCAGTCGGCGTTCACGTTGCATTCGGCGTCGGAGATAATGACTTCGGGCGCAAGCAGAATGGGCGGGGGGATCTGGGGCCCCGCCGTTGCGCCCGACGCTGCGCGCGCGAATCGCGGCGCCCGCGGACGCCCTGCTGGAGGGCCCCTCCCGCGGAGGGCCGATCGGCGACTGCCGGCCAACGGGCGCTGAGACGGCGACGATCGGCCCCATCAAGACCGCGGCGCACGCAGTCGCCACCAGGTGGTCCGCCCAGGAATCCCCCCTCCCCATGTCCGCGACGTAAGCGCTCACGTCGGGGAACTGAGCTCTGTTGAGCGCATTCTCGAACGTGCTGGGGAGGCTCGCGATCCAGTCCATGGCTGGGGGCGACGTTTTACATGCTCCGGGACCGCGCGGGGGCAATGAGTCTCAAACCCTGGCCCTTGGGCGCCCGTTCAAGCTGGCGGGGAGAATGCAAAGGCAAGGGGGCATTTCCGAAATCTGCATGGCAGTCCTTCGGCTCGCCAGCCCTGGGCGGTCACGCCGACCTCTTCGCCGCCCCTCCTGAGAGTCTCGATCGAGGCGTGGAAGAGACGAGCCCCGTCTCCTGGCACTGCGACTGCCCGCAGCGTCAGATTCATGGACAAAACGCAGGGCGCGGAGCGCCCCCGGCCGCCCCGCGGCGCCCGTCGGACCTGGCCCCCGCTCGATGGCCCCGAGATTCCCCGAGCTGCCCTTCGATTCTCGACGAAGTCCCGCGGCTCCCAGGTGGCGTCGAGCGGCGACTGACTGGTCCGAGAGACGCCCGGGAGTCTTCGTTGCCTTCGAATTGGCACTTCGTGTGCAGTGGCGTAGTGACAGAGGACGTGGTGCCTGCGATGCTGGCACGCGAGGCTGCAGCAGCGTCCCTGGCGGACGTCGTGGAGGATACGTCGCAAGTGGCAGCGCCAAGACGGGCGGGAGAGGCAGCGTCGGTGTCCTGGTGGGCACCGGCCGGGGCCCGGGTGGGCCACGACTGGGGCCTCCGCCTTGGCCGCCGCCGCTGCGGGGGAGAATGGCGGCGTAGGCCTCCTGTCGCTTGAGCGGGCTCTCGGGGTGGAAGCAAGGGCTCCCCCGAGGGCGCGAAGTTATTCGCGCTTCGCGCTTCGCGGTCCTCGATCCTTCTCCCCCCTCCTCCTCGTCCTCCTTTTCTCCCTTTGGGGGGGCGGCGCGAGAGCGCGAAGTTATTCGCGCTTCGCGCTTCGCGCAGCGCGAAGCGCGAAGTTGGGAGCCCTAGTGGAAGGCTTGGCGGCCATTGCGCGCGCCGTAGCGGTTGCCGCCCCTGGGTCCGAGGACGGCCACGGCGAGATCACCTTCTAGCGTTCGGGATGCTGCGCCGTAGAGGCGCTAACGGTGATGCAGGCAGCGGCGATGTAGGTTTCGGTATCGTGGGAACGCGTGGCTCGTGCTTTCCTATAAGTTTCTGTGTCGTTTTCGTTCGATACATCTGCATATTGGAAATTTAGGAAAGGGTGGATCGCGATTTCCTACAAGCGTGGCCTTGAACGTTGAGCAACATCGTCGTTCGCGCGGCCTTGGTAGCAAGAGATGGATCCCTGCCTCAAGCGTGCGTTGGGGGATGCCACTGGTATGTGAGATCCCGCAGTCGGCCCTGGTGAGCGTAGGCGTGATCGGGACGTTCCAGTTTGGTGCATCGAGGCTGATGGGAGGGGCTGTACCGTTATCCTGGTCGATAACGGCTGGGGCCATGAACCTTGGTGGGTCACGGCCGGTGCTTGTCTTGTGCGAAAGGGCAACATGCAGTTTTGCGCAGCTCATCTGGATTTTCGTGCACAAGTTCACCAGTTCGTTCCTGAGCCGAGGTTGGTTTGAGCTGTGTTGTTGGCATACAGTCTCGAGGTCGGTCGGGTGTTTTTGGACGAGTTTGTCGTAGGCTGCAGGCGCCCAGTCTGCGCCGCCACCACTTTGGAAAGAAGCGGTGCAGGCCTCCGAGCGTACGAGAAGGCCCTCTGGACAGGAGGCTTGGCGGCCCCTGGCTGATGGCTTGGGCTGCGTTGGCACGTAGCGCACATGGCGAAGGTCTTCTGGAAGCATTGCGGCGCGCGCGGGATATCGCGAATCACTCACATCCTGGATGGTGTGTGTCTAGTTTCGCCATGCGCGTGGCAAGCTGATAGCTGCGTTGGGTGCTTCGCGTCGCGGCTGCGCACTGGGTCAAGGACCCTCGAGTCGAGACTAGCTTGAGCCAAGACTGCGACGGACGGGGAGAGAGGGGGAGAGAGAGACACAGAGAGAGAGAGAGAGAGAGAGAAAAAAAAAGAGAGAGAGAGAGAGAGAGAGAGAGAGAGAGAGATTGAGAGGGGAGGAGGAGTAGTCTCGGATGCTGGAGAAGGAGAAATTTGAGGAGGAAGAGGAGGAGGAGGCGGAGGAGGAACTGGCGCGCCCGCCTCCCTAAGAGGCGCGCCGCCAGACCCGAACGGGCGACGGCGACGCGGATGCCCCCCGAGGCCCGCGGGGGTCCCCCTGCGCGACGTGGAAGCGGGGAGGGGAAGGAGGCGGAGGAGGAGGAGGAGGAGGAGGAGGAGGAGGTGGATCAAGCAGGGAGGATGGTCTTTAATCAATGTTGGCGTGTGCCCGAACGGAGGGGGAGGGGGGAGACGGAGGAGGAGGAAGTGGAGGAGGAGGAGGAGCAGGAGGACCAGTGTAAACCCAAGAGTCAGCAACGATGTTGGATTCAACTCTCCCTCCAAGCTCCCTCTTCATATGCCCCTACAACGGTTCATTTCCACTGTGGGAGCAGCCTCGTTGGAAGACAACCGCTTGAAGAGCCTGACGCGTGCCACAACATTATTTTCGGGATTCCAACGCCATGTATCAACCTGACTGTTGCGCCCTGACGATCCTGAATCGTGCCAGAAAGCCCTTCCTGGGACTTCAACACCGCGAATCAAAGTTTCGGTTGCACCCTCATAACCATGAAACTGTCGAAAACACCATTCCTGGTATTTTCACCAAGGGGATTCGTGAAATTTTTGAAATTTGTATAGAAACAATGCTCGCGGCGCTTGGGCGAGAGCCACAGGATGAAAAGGAACCGCCCTCAATCAGTGAAACTCTCGCAATGGTTTAAAACGAATGTGCGCGGCGCTAAAGCGAGAACCAAATGTTGAAAACGACCCGCCCTCAATCCGTGAAACTCTGGCAATGTTTTAGAACGAATGTGCGCGGCGCTGAGGCGAGAGCCACGGTTTGAGAACGACCCGCCCTAAATCCGTGAAGTTCTTGCAACAGTTTCAATATGATGTGCGCGGCGCTAAGGCGAGAACCACATTCTGAAAACCACCCGCCCTCAGTCCGTGAAGCTCTTGCGAATATTTGAAACGAATGTGGGCGGCTCTAAAGCGAGAGCCACATGTGGGTGCCCTCCACCTGTCAAATTATTTTCGAAGTTGAGGCATCAGGGTCATAAGCCGTGAGGAACTCTCAGGCGAAACGCCCGGCCCGCCCTTTCGACCGGCCTCGGGGTGCGACAGGGAGAGAAGTTATGTATAAGGAAAGGAATGGAGGAGGAGGAGGAGGAGGAGGAGGAGGAGGAGGAGGAGGAGGAGGAAGAGGAAAGGGAGAGAGAGAGAGGACGCAGTGATGAATGTGGAAGAGGAGTGTGACGGAGGGGAGGGCCGAGGACCGAAACCGAGGCTCGAGGATAGATAGATATCGCCTCGAGCGACGCCGCTGCGGACACCGCGCGAGTCCCACAGGGGAGGAGCCAGGAGGAGAAGGAGGAGGAGGAGAAGGAAGATCAGGAGGAGGACCAGGTGGACGAGGAGCCATTGAGCTAGTATGTCGAAGGGGGCTCCGTCAATGCCTCTGAACACAAGCAGCGGTCGGAGCATCGCGGGGCAGTGCAGGCGTATGCATACCGTGATGGCGGCACCTAGCCACGCCGCTGGGTCGTCATGCAGATCCGTCGCATCGTGCATGTTGGCGCAGACCGCCTGGGCGGCGCAGCCGCTAACGGAGTTGTCTGGTGCCAGCTGCCAGGGAGGGCCCGAGCCCGCACTCTTCGGTCCTCCTGCTTGGCCCGTTCGAGCTGCAGCGCCGTGGCGGCGAGACTTGCCCCTCGCGGTCCGTACCTGGACCGGGGGGGTCCTGTTCTGGTAAGCAGGTGCCAGACTCCTCTGCTGTGGTGGGGTCTGGGATGTCGGTTCTCCTGCGCGTCTTGCCTTTCCTGGGTGGCCGCGGCTGCGCTCAGTGGCCCATCGCATCCAGTCGTGTACGGTCTCGCGGGACTGTCCTTCAGGATCTGCCCCGGGGGCGTCTGTTTCCCCGTGGCGGGAGAGCGGCCTTTGCTCCTCGGCGCCCTGCGTCGGGGAGTTGTGTGGGGAGGGCTCTTCGGGTTCCCGCACGCTGTTGACGTCCGCTATGGAGATGCCGACGGATTCATCGGCCTGTCCGTGGGCCTGTTCAGCGGGTAGTGGGCAGGGTTGTCCGTACCCGGAGGCACACACACACAGCGAGCAATATGCCAGCACCCACGTTGTCATTGTCAAAAACCATGCAAATCGATCGCGGGGTTCCCGCGCACGATCCAGATTGTGCCACGAAGTATACTTTGTTTTTTCAACCACCCTGTGGTGTTGGGTTTTCGTTTTGAAGGGACAGTGCCCCGCGTCCTTCTCTCATCTCTCCTCTTTCCCTCCTCGCCCTCCAAATCTCATTTCTTGCCTCTGGCCTCCGCATGTTTCAATTTCGGGCACACGTTTCGTGCCCCCCCATAGGGAGCCCCACCGAAGGCCCCAGTGGAAGGGTCCACGTGCGTCTCCCCGCACCATTCCGGCACCTCCCTCACACGCTTCGTGGCCCCATAGGGAGCTCCACGGAAGGCCACGGTGGGAGGGTCCACATGCGTTTCCCCGCTAGATTTCGGCACACCACTTACACGCTTCGTGGCCCCATCAGGAGCTCCACCGAAGGCCCCTGAGGCAGGGTCCACATGCACCTCCCCGCTCCATGTCGGCACACCCCTCACACGTTTCGTGACCCGAGCTCCACCGAAGGCCCCAGTGGGAGGGTCCACATGCATCTCCCCGTCAGATTTCGGCACACCCCTCACACGCTTCGTGCCCCAACAGGGATGTCCACGGAAGGCCCCAGGAGAGAGCCCACATGCGTCTCCCCGCGCCATTGCGGCACCTCCCTCACACGCTTCGTGTCCCCATAGGGCGCTCCACCGAAGGCTCCCGTTTGATGGTCCACATTCGTTTCCCCCACCCAGTACAGCGCTTCGTGGCCCCATGCGGATGCCCCAGTGGCCACGGCCGCATGTTTCTCTCTCACCCAAAACATCCCTTCGTGGCCCCATAGGGAACTCCACTGAAGACTCCAGTGGCCGTGGCCGCGTGCACCGAAGGCTGAATTGGCGACGTTTCCATGCGGACCCGGGGCCCATTTCCGCGCACCTTTGACACGTCTCGTGCACCCGTAGGCAGCTCCACCGAAGGCCCCAGTGGGAGGGTCCACATGCGTTTTCCCGCCACATGTAGGCACACCCCTCACACGCTTCGTGCCCCCACAGGGAGCTCCACGGAAGGCCAGAGCGTATTCTTGAAGTGCCAGCTGCTGCGCCCAGGGCCGCCATGTTGTCGCCGACTGTGATGATATCCTCCCTGTCGTCTTCCAAGATGCTGGCTGTGGCCGCCCGTAGGAGCGCTCCTAGCTCCGGGCTTGTGCTGGATGTGATGTTCTCGGCCATCTCTTTGCTGGCCGAGAGAGCGTGGTTCGAGTAGGCGTGTCGGCCCTAGGAGACGCCGTGCTCGTCTTCTCGAAAGCGAGCGACTGCCCACGCAGAAATGCTGGGAACGCTGGCGTGGTATGACGCATCAGTGAAGTAGTAGTGCCTCTTCAATCGTCTCCATGGTTCTACATGGTGCCACTTGCTCCACTGCTGTCCGAGCGTACTCGTGCAAGTCGTGGTTCTTCAGGTCGTGGCGCCACTTCAGGGTGTGCACGTGATGCTTGAAGCGTAGTGGTGGGAAACGTGGTTCCCCAATGTGTGCAGTTCGTATATGATGCTCGTTGGCAGCTGTTGGGGGGGTCACTGTCGCCGTTCGTAGGTGCTTGCCTCGACTGATGCTTGTATGTGCAATGAGTTTGGCAGCCTCAGGTGGGCTGGCCTGCCCGCTGTGGGGTGTAAAAGGGGGCTTGTGTTGTCTCGCCATTGATCCAAAATGGCTAGTCGAGTGACTGGCACTCGTAGGCGCAGGTCTCTCTGGAGTGGCTGCTGCCTTCTTCTGAGACCTATTCCTCACTGGAGTTGTAGGGGGTAGGCGTTGCTGCCATCCCCCGTCGGCTTCTTGTGGTGGCTGCTCGCCGAGGTATTCCACTCTCGAGGCGGCTCTAGCTCTGGGCCCCGCTACAGATGTCGGAGGCTCCTGGAGCGTGAGATCATCCTGGGCGTGTCTCTCAGGTAGACTCAGCCTGGTCTGTCGTTGTCGAGCATGCGGTCGGTGATTGGATTTGGAGTGCGACGCCGCAGGGGCCGCCGTCGCCGTTCGGGAGGGGCCGCTGCCATGCCCCGCGAGTTCCAGGGGAAGCCTCCTTGGTCCCTCGTAAGTGGTGGAACGTTGGCCGCTGTGCGAGTAGCTTCCCCGCTCTTGTTGTGGCGGGCCAGCTCTGCTTGGTTGGTGCTTGCTTGGTTTGGTGGCATTGGCGGCCTGGGGGGGGTCTCCCAGGTCCACCTGCGGGGTTGTTGCTGCGTAGGCCAGGCGAGTAGATTCCCCACTCTTGTTCCGGCGTGGTCGCGCTGTAAGTTTCTTGATCGGGTCGGAATGGGCTGTTAGGAGCTATTTGTTTATGGTAGTACCGTTGGTTTCGTGTGACTGTTTCTGGGCAGTCATGGGCCGTGGAATGTGGGCGGCTGGCGTAGCCTCCTCACTGCAAGAGTCTCGGTGGTTGGGACAGTGATGCCTCCTGTCTTCTGGTGTCGGTATTGCTTCGAATGCCTGAGCCAGTTGCCCCTCAGGCCGCGGGTGTTTGATCAGTTTTTTGACATGCGACCCGCATCAAGGTCGCTGTCTCCGCTTTCAAGAAAGGCCGCCACTCTGTCGGAGGGGTCTGCGTAACCGCCTCCAGTGTCGTAGATGCGCATCTTCCATGGCTGGCTCTTCGACTTTTTGCTCTCTGCAGACCTCCTCAACTCTCCTCGTGCTGGTGGGGCCGATGTGGCCCTGTCGGGCGTGCCCATGTGAAATCGTGGTGGTGGTGACTGTGGCTCGTGTGGTTTGGTGCGCGTAGTATCGTCGATTGGGGTTCTCTGTGGTGTGGCTGGTGCTGAGTCGTCGCCTTTACTCAAGTCGATCAGTAGCCGCTTTGTTGGTGTCCTCTTGGGTCGTGGTATCGGTGGGCTGGTCAGGGGCATGGCGGTAACTGGTGGGAATATGTTGGGGTATCTCGGGGTGGGCTGTCCTGTTGGGATCGGTGATTCCGCTGCAATCGTGGTCGTTGGTGA